CCCATACCTTCATCACCCAGCAGAGCATGAAGAGTTACCATGGAGGACAGACCCAGATCACAAGCGAGGCGATTACACACATCAGTCGGTGGAGAGAGGGCATCAAGTATCCCTAGAATGAGCTCTTTCTGATGTGCTGGAGAGTATGACGTGTTCACGTCTCCACAGGGCCAAGGGCCAAGTGAACATGTATATGGTGGGGTGGTAACAAAAAGCTACCTCAGGGACATGTCTGAGTGCAAGTTTTGGATGAATGCCAAGATTGTAATTGAAAAGCAGAGCAAAGGCACAGCCGATGCAACAAGCAAGACTGGGAAGCAACCAACTGCCATCGATGATTGATTGAATCTTTCATCGGTTATGTGATTCAGGCAAGTTTGACTCTGAATGCAGCATCAGCTTCATTCTACTAGAAGGAGTTTAACCTTATTAGGTATCACACCACTCAGGACATCATCCTTCTTCTTTTTTTTTTTTTTTTGCAGGTGATTTTGCTAGTGTGGGAAGTGGGACCACCAAACTGGAGGTCACGGTGGTTATCAAGTCCAACTTCAAGCCCTCACTGCTGATTCAGAAAACTAAGGTGAGTATTCCAATCCCAGTGAACATTAAGTGGTATGCAGATGATCTGCAGGAAGGGGAAGACCAAGTTGAAGGGCAGCAGGAATGCCATCGTGTGGAAGATGAAACTCATGGCAGATGACAGGCATGAAGGAATTGCAGATAAGCACAGTTTGATCTTCTGCCCACCAAAAACAAACAAAAAAGGCTTGTTGCTCTTTAGTTCCATGAATTTCAAGGTGTCAGTCATCCCTCTGGCCTCGAGATGTATACTTTGAATGTAACTGAGCTGAAGCTGAACCACAGCGACCATGGCATCATCAAATGAATGCACTGCATTGATATCAAGTTGCATGTATGAGACTTGCTGCCAGCTGCCTTGTAACAGATAGTCCATATCCCTGCCCAACCTCTTCCATGGGTCTGGATGCTCCTGGCCAACACCTTAGCACCTCCTTCTTCATCCTGCTCTGCTGCCTTCTTTTTGTATCAGCCCCTGAGTTTAGATTTGGACTAAGCATGTTGTAAGCTTGGCTGGCATGGCAGTTCCTGGGCTCCTAGGGCAGAGTGGTTCCTGGGGCTCTTGCTCTTCTGTGAGTCTACCTGTCCAGATGTAAGTTCCAGGCTCTGAGTTCTGTTACCAATCCTAAGGGGCCACACCTCTGCAGTGGGAGGTTGACTGATCCTCACTTTGAAGCTCTCCCAAAGGTCAGCCACAAATACCCAGCCTTCAACCAGTATTTTGCTTTGACTTCATCTAGTTATTAAACCAATAAACTCTGTAGAGTGGGAGGAAGGAAAGAAAATTTGATCTCTGCATGTAGAATCATATGAACCAAGACTCTTCTTACACACTCTGTAACAAAAATCAACTTACAATATGTAAAGGATCTAAACCTAAGACCTAAAACCATCAAATTTATAGAGGAAAAAAGGAGAAACAACGGAAGACACTGGCATAAGGCAAAGACTCATTGGATAGAATTTAGAAACACAGGTAGTAAAGTAAAAACAGACAGATGGCATTACATCAAGCTAAATTGCTTCTGAACAGCAAAGACATGCTCAACATGTTGATGAGGCTAAAGAAGGATCGGAAGAAAAGAACTGTAAACTATAATCCAATAAAGCATAATATCCAGGATATATAAAGAACTCAAGAAACTCAATAATTAATGGGATACAAATGGCCAACAGACAAAGGAAAAGATGCTCAGGATCACTAGCCATCAGGAGAACATAAACAAAAACCACCATGAGATTTCATGTCATCCCCTTAGGAGGAGTGTCATCCAGAAATGAACAATCTGAACTGCCGGTGAAGCTGTGGAGGAAGAGGTACTCTAACTCACTGCTGGTGGGAATGTAAGCTTGTACAACCATCATGAACGACTGCATGGAGAATCCTTACAGTCATTCCACTCCTGGGAATTTACCCAAAAGAAATGAAATCAGCATAGGGAAAGAGTTATCTATAACCTCATGTCTATAGCCGTTCAATTCACAATATTACTGGTAAGATGTTGGATCAAGCCAGTTGTGCGTCAACTGTGAGATACATATATATATACATATACACACACACACATACACACATATGGTATACTCACATACATATACATTTTCTGTATCTACTACATATCGTATGTATGTATGTATGTGTGTACAAGTGATCCACACAATATAACACAAACTACATTTACTATATATACTATACACCCACAGTGGAATACCTTATAACCATAAAAAATAAAATTCTATCTTTTGAAACAAAATGGATGCAACTGGAGACCATTATGTTTAGTGAAATATGCTTAGTGAAACCAGACCTAAGAAGACAAAGATACATCTTTGACTTCTAATAGCTAAGAGAGTACAAATAAATGTAATGTAAATGAGTTGAAACTGATTATTCTATATGTTTCCTGTCCATATTCCTGTGGAATAGTAACTTTCCATTTTCTACTTGTTGAATTCTTTCTGTGGAAAATTAAGCCTGTGACTATAAAGTGAAAGTGTGCTATTATAAAAATTAAAATTAGAAAAAAGAAAGGAGGAGAAAGAAACAAGAATTATTATTATGTGCTTAAAATGTATATATGAAATTCTTGAAATCTGTTCTCTTTATATAAATAAGTTAAAAAATAAAAGTGTTGGTAAGTAGCAAAATGATTGCAAAGTAGAAATATCTAATAGATAATTAATGACATGGGATCAGAGATCCCAAGACGTGATTCAGATTAATGAATTATGTGGAGATGAACCAATTAAAATTGTAAATGGATACATTTTTCAGTAGAAAAAAGGAAAGCATGGGCAGGAACGTAAGGAGTTAACCTTGTGGGCTGACTTCAGTATGGAGATGCTGTAGAATGGGTGTTTGGTGAATCAGATGCCAGTCAGAATGCCTACATCTCAATACACATTCTTTGGGTTCAATACCTAGCACCAATCCCTAACTCCATCTTCAAGCCAATGCAAACCCTGTGAGGCGGAAGTGATGAGTCAAGGAACTGAACTTCTGTCACCTACATGGAGACCTGGAGTTTGTCTCTGGCTCTTGCTTTTGGCCCAAACTACTCATGGCTTCTCTGGGAATTTGGATGGGAGGTCTCACAAATAAACAGATAAGAAATATGCTTTTTAAAAGGTGTGAGACAGAATTAGAGATTTAGCAAATATTTGCAATTAGTTGAGTGAAATAAGAAATGGGCAAAAATGATGCTTCCAGGAAGAAGGATGTACCACATGAACAGGGTCTTTTTAGATACACATTCAAATGAGTGCTTTGGCAGGCAAATTACAGAAATGTTTACTTTGGCAATAACATAGGGAGTGCAGTATTAGGTTGAAAATGCTATTACATGGATTACACATATTTCATAAATAGTGTTTTCTAAAATACCTGCCTTAGGAAATACGACATTTTTCTCTTTCTCAATTTCTCCATCAATACATTACAAGTTACTGTACTTTAATGGCTTTCTTTCATATCTACATCAAGGAAAGTGATTTATGCCATCCTAACATACTAAACTTGGAAAGGTAACATGATCAAATGCAGTTTCTGCCAATTCAGACTGCTTCTGTGTCATTATAAAGCTGAGAGATTCTAAGCTCAACATCCTAGTCAGGGACTTTCTCTATGGAATTTAGATTTACTGGAGATTTCAGGCATCTACCAGGGGTCTTGGATATAGCCTGGTGTGAAGACTGGTGGACAATTCCACAATATTCCATCCCTTGTAGAGACTCTTATTTGGAACTTAGGATAACTTGCTATGTGTATTACCTACTTAACGGTTATCACTCACATACAGGCAACTTTTATAAGTAGACCAAAAAGAGGTGTGTAAAAGCTTTAGGTTATTTTTGGATTCTTTGGAAAAAGTGAGGTGAGGTGAGCCTTGTTAAGATAACAGCATAGGCAATATTTCCTAGGATGCCACCTACTCTGGTAATCTCAGAGTCACAGAAAATAGTATGCTTGCGTTAATCCTGCCTACCCAAGGCAGACACTGTGGTTAGCATTCCAGTGTAGCGTGGTATTTAGTTCTTCATGAAAATAATTCATGTTGTCTTACTATTACTTTAATGGTTATTTTGCATTGTTTTAACTTCTTTTTATTACATTCATGTTTCTTCTTTATAGACAAAAATGGAAGGAGTCAAAGAGTTGAAAGCATACAAGAGCTGGACGGCCTCAAGACATGGAAACAGTCAGGATACAGCCAGGAAGGGATCCTTCTTCCATACTGTTATCCTTGGAAGTTTTGTGTCTGCAAGTACTCTTGAAAGATGCTCCTCATATTTAAAAACTTCTGCCTGACAAAGGTATCAAGCATAAGGCAAACCAAAGCAAAGTCTGAGATCAACCACAGGGGTAAAATAACTGCAATGGGCAATGGGCACATTTTGGGCTACTTTGTACTTTGTGCTACAGTGTGCAACGGGCTACTTTGCACATTTTGAATCACTGTCCAAAATTAAATTATTTCATCTCAATTTGGTTAGGAATGGGGAGGGGTATGAGTTATTTTTGAAAGTTGGTTGCTTTAATTAAATGGAAACTAGATTTAGATTCATCTAGGGAAAACTGATTAGACATTGGCATAAGTTTCTTTAGGAAACACAAGAAGAGCATGAACTCAGTTAACTCTTTGTAGTTCAGGTGTCATTCCCACCCCCAAATCCCTCCATGGATGACAGTCGTTCCTGAGCTGGAATACCGGGGACAGATCAAGAGGACCCAGCACCAAGTAGATGCTTTGCTTTCACGCTTGCTGTAGACTCGGTGCTCTGAGGACAGGGTGTGCAGAAAGGTAAGGTGACACAGCATGGGAAACACAAGTCCATGGGATCCTCTCCTGAGTCCCTCTGCTGGCTGTCCCTTCCTCCAATCCCGAGGGATCCCTACAGTCCCCGCAGTTCCCACTTACTTGGCTGCAGCATCTTTTCTCAACTGTTCGTGCTTCATGAGGAGATTTTTCCGGTCTCTGAAGGCCTTTCTGACTTTGTACCCTTTATATACAGCTTGAATTTTGAAGGCAGCAATGTCTTGTATGGCTGCAATGGACAGGGCACCACGTTCCAACATGAATTGAATGACTTCATGGCGCTCACCTAGCAAAGCATAGTCAAGTGGCGTGTACCTGAAGCAGGAGGAAATTTTTAAGTCTCAGAGTGTAATTCAAGGTACATTTAGATCAGCAACACTATTACACATCAGAAGAAAACTTCACTCTAGGATGTGAAATATATTTCAGGCAAAAGCACCTTCTATACTCTGAAGGATACAAAATAAAGCTGAATATGGCAGAAGAGTCAGGTACCTTGAGCTGCTAACAATATCAATTTCTTAGTGCTGCTTACAAGCTTACAAACTGGAGGCTAATGAGAACACATGATCACCTTTTCCTTCTCCATGTCCTAAATAATTCCCTGTGCCCGTCTAAAAAATACTGCCACAACCAAGCAACCAACCAACTAACTAACCAACCCTATCCCCAAAGCCCTCCTCAAGCCCTGCAGTTACTTGTGTACTAGATTTGAAATGTCTGGCTTCCAGCCCTGGCTCTGTTTCTGTCCCATTTGCCTGTCACTGTGTACCCTGGTAGGCAGTGGTGGTGGTTCAAGAAATTGGGCTTCTGTAATCCATGTGCGAACTCAGATTGAATTCCTGCTGCCTGGGTCTGCTTCAGCTTTTTTGGGCAATTGGGGAGTGAACTAGCATATGGGAAATTTCTGTTTCTCATTTAAAAAATACTATTGCAGCAGAGTATCTGTGAGAGTCATACCCATGATTGCTATTAGCTAATGCTTATGAAATAAAAATACACCTCATGGGTCCAGCACCGTGGCATTGTAAGTGAAGCCATCACCTGAAGTGCCAGTATCCCATATGGGTGCTATTTCCAGTCCCAGATGCTATACTTCCAATCCAGCTCCCTAATAGTGTTCCTGTGAAGGCAGCTGAGGATGCCCCAAGTACTCAGGCCTCTGCACCTGCGTGGGAGACCAGGAGAAAACTCCTGGCTTTGATTTGGCCCAGTCCTGGCTGTTATGGCCATTTGGGGAGTGAACAAGTGGATAAAAGATCTCTCTGTCTCTCCCTCTCTCTATAACTCTACCTTTCAAATAAATAACTCTTAAGTAAAATTTTAAAAAGTGGGCCTCCAAATGGAGAGATTTAGAGTATAAGAATAATCCTTTAGTTACCACAGAAAAGATAAATCGTTAAGTAAACAGCGTAGGGACAACCAGGTAGTGGGGGGGAGGAGATTCTTGTAGCACATCTTACACCAAAATAAATTCTGGATGGAGCAAAGATCTAATATTAAAAAAAAAAAACATGAAAGTACGAGAAGAAATCATGGAACCTTTAAACAACTCAAAATCATAACAGAAGACAGATAAATCTGACTACATAAAAATAAAATCATATGGGGCAAAAAGCACCAAGCTTTCTTTCTGTCAAAGAAAAACAGTTACTTTGTAAAACGACATATTTTTAAGAATTTGAACAGTGCAAAAAAAGTATAAAATTTAAAGTTTAGGAAACAAGCACCCCAAGTCAACCATTCAACAATGGCAATGACAACTGTTACTTTATATAATTTACTTGGTGTTTCTAAGTCTCAGCTTTCCTCATCTGTTAAACAGAACACCTATCCACACACTGTAAAATGCATGGAAAGTGAAACATGTTTATTAAATGTGTGTGTGGCACAAAGGAAGCACTTAGTGTCAGTGTTGATAATTATTATAACAGACACTGCTGCAAGGTTTGCAATACCACAGTATCTTAACTGGGCTTATTTCCGTAGGACTCAAAGTAGTATTTGTGAGAACCTAAGGTTTCCACTGATGCTAGCCTCTCTATGCTGTGACTAGTTCAGGCCATCAGAAGTGTTGGTGGGGAGGAATGTAAGGAGGGTGGGCATTGGATGCAGTGGTGCAACAGGCTAATCTGCCTCTAAGTGCCTGCATACCATGTGGATGCTGGTTCATGTCCTGCTGTTCCCACTCAGCTCCCTGCTTACAGACTGGGAAAGCAGTGGACCATGGCCTGAGGCCTTCGGCTCCCAAAACCACATAGGAGACTGGGAAGAAGATTCTGGCTCCCAGCTTTGTAGCAGCTCAGCTCTGGCCTTTGAAGCTATTTAGGGAGTGAATCAGCAGATGGAGGACCTCTTCCTCTCCCTCCTTCTCTCTCTTAAAAAGTATGCTTTTCTGGGCCCAGCGGCATGGACTAGCAGCTAAAGTCCTCGCCTTGAACGTGTCAAGATCCCATATGGGCGCCAGTTCTAATCCCAGCAGCTCCATTTCCCATACAGCTCCCTGCTTGTGGCCTGGGAAAGCAGTGGAGGATGGCCCAAAGCTTTGGGACCCTGCACCTGTGTGGGATACCCGGAAGAAGTTCCTGGATCCTGGCTTCGGATTGGCATAGCATTGGCCATTGCGCTCACTTGGGGAGTGAATCATGGGACGGAAGATCTTCCTCTCTTCTCCTCCTCCTCTCTGTAGATCTGACTTTCCAATAAATAAATAAATCTTTAAAAAAAGTATGCTTTTCAAATAAAAAAATTAATCTTAAAAAAAGAAAAAAGTATTAGGAAGACATAATTAGCTGATTGATGAGGTGGGGGGAAGATAATTATATAGATAAGTAGGTATGAAAAAAGTCATCCAATGGTTATAGAGAATAAATCTATCTCTTTTCAAAATTTACCTAACATTCACTGTAAGACAAAATGGTAAAACTGAAATGGTTTTCTGTTATGAGAGTGATTTGGTTGTTTCAATAAGAAAACTGTGGGGGGGGGAAGCTCACAATTTAAAATTGATGACCTCTCATTTAAGACAGCTTGATTTGTCACTACTCTTTAGATAGCAGAAGCTGTTAAACAGACATGCCTATATAGCGTTTTATAAATTCACAACTTAAAAAAAATTACTACAGATCTGAAAATGCCTTTCATTACTACAAGCTGTCTAATGGAATATATTATCATAGAGTTAATTATTCATATGATAGCAGGACTAACCCAAATTTTAGAGGTAATTAGGTTCAACACTTTAATTTTATGATAGAAATAAAAAAACCCAGACAGGGTAATCAATTTGCTGAAGACTAGGAAAGCAATTTGTACAGAATGCAGACTCAAACAGAGCTCTCACAAGACTCTCAGTTCAGCAACTCTACTCATTTATCAGTTTCTGAATAAAGTAACTTTTGTATAGAACCAAAGGGTCTAAAAGCACTGTGCAAACAAAATATACATTTAGTAAATTGGATCATCTCAAAAATTATTAATATATGATATTTTTCTGGTAATATTGAAGCTGCATTACCAAAACCTGGTTTTTGAAACACAGAAACCAAAGTATGCCTTTAGTTACAAATAAGGTAAAAAGAAATGTTGGATTAGGAGTCAGGGAGCCTAGGTGGCACACAGCATTCTGCTTTCTTCTCTGAACTTTTGTTTTCTCATCCATGAAAAGGGAAATGAAAGGAAAACTGGAGCTCTCAGATTTCTTTTGGATCAAACAATGCCCCTTAAATATTTTTAATGTTATGACAAATTCCAAACATAAACAAAAGTGGAGGCAAAAGCATACTAATCCACTACTAATCATAATCAGAAATTTAATAATTAGTAATTTTTTTGCTACATTTGCTTTATCCATCCCTTCATTCATAGTATTTACTAAATTATTTAAAACATATTTTAGAATATTAGCTGAGCAATATGGGTATAGCCACAATGTCATTATTACAACTAGCAAAAGTAGCAACTTTCCTGGTAAAGTCTAATGTCCACTTATAGTCAAATCACCTCAATTTCCCCAAAAATGTCTCCTTCATAGACAGTTAATTCAAAATAGAATTTGCAGACAATCTGTGACTCAAAGAGACATTCTGAAGATCTAACGAGTTTCTAAGATTGAGGTTTATACCTAGTGTTTAAGCAACTGACCACATTTTAACTGTGACTATTGAATCTTCATCCCAATTTAATTTAGAAGCATTCAGGTACTGAGAATATTCCCATCAATGTTGGAGTGTGACTGTCAGACAGATATTGACTGAGAGCCAGCAGAAGGTGGCAAAAATGATGTCTACACAGGGTGCATTAGCTGGTTAGTGTCGATGCATGATGAGTAAAAATCAGCACTACATTGATGGTAACCAGCCAAGAAACAATGAAGATATAGACAAGCCATAGGACACAATTGGACTTGCCATGTGGGAATGATCTGATGGAATGAGTAGAATGCTTAAACAAGAATGTCAATAAGCATGAAAAGCAGTGCCAAGCTCTGACATCTGCACATCAGGCATGTTGCTAATGAAACATTAAATGAGACTTAGATAGTCCCACTGTCTCTTTTTATCTACAGATTGGCAAGCACAGTTAGGAGGATTTCCCCCGCTGACCTCTGGTCTGAAATTAACATAGGTTTATTCCAGGAAGCAGTAAGTCCCTTTATTTAAGTAGTCTCCTAGGTCTGAAATTCTAGGTTTATAACATAAATGAGAATTGAATTACAAAAAAAAAAAAAAAAGTTTTGAGGACTGTGTTCCTCAGAAACAGAAGAAAAGTAAACTTCCTTCAGGACTCCGGAGGGGAGATTTCTCTGATCCTTACTTATTTCCAACTTTGGATCCCCACCCTCTCTTGCAATGATCATCAGGGTCATGCCGAAGCCCCTGCCCCACAAGAAAAATTAGATCAGATAGACAGAGACGAATAAGGAAAGCTTAGAACCAGACAGGAAATGGTCAGCTTGGAGTGACATATACCTTACTAGGTAGGACACAAAGATTAATTACTCTGGGCCCAGCGGCGTGGCCCAGCAGCTAAAGTCCTTGCCTTGAACGTGTCAAGATCCCATATGGACGCCGGTTCTATTCTGCCAGCCCCGCTTCCCTTCCAGCTCCCTGCCTGTGGCCCGGGAAAAGCAGTCGAGGATGGCCCAAAGCTTTGGGACCCTGCACCTGTGTGGGATACCCGGAAGAGGCTCCTGGATCCTGGCTTCGGATTGGCATAGCATTGGCTGTTGCGCTCACTTGGGGAGTGAATCATCGGACGGAGGATCTTCCTCTCTGTCTCTGTCTCTGTATATCTGCCTTTCCAATAAAACATAATAAAAATAAATCTTTAAAAAAAAAAGTCAATGAAGTAGTCACAGGATGTGGTTAAGAACTTGCATTTTCTGGGGCCCGGCAGCGTGGCCTAGCTGGCCAGAACATTCTTCTAAGCGTATCATGATATTGTAGTCATAAATAATGGTGGAGAGTCCAGTATCCTGTTCTCAAGATTTCGTTAACAATTTCATTTGGGAGGCCATCTTTTATTCAGGAGTAGAGATGCATACCGCATTGTATCTTCACTTCTCAATATAATAATGTCCCTTATACAGTTCCTCTAGATGAATATATGTATATGCATGTTTACCTAAACATCAATTGATCTTTTTTTTAAATTTCATTTTATGACACAGTTTCATAGGCTCTGGGATTCCCCAAACCCCTCCCTTTGCCCTTCCCCCATGTTGGATTCCTCCACATTTTTGCAGCAGTACAGTTCAAATCCAGCCACGATTCCTTCATTGCAAGCATGTACCATACACAGAATCCATTATCTTATTGTTCAGATAAATTCAACAGTTTCTTGGGGAAACCATCCCTGGTGTGAAAGTAGAGCTGGCAGAATATCATCCCATCCAATGAAAAGCCACAACATAACATCAACAACAATTTACAACATTATGGAGTTAATTGACATGGTATTGAGTGACCAACTGTTAGAAAATGCTATCTCTCTCTTTTTTTATTATTATTATTACAAAGTTAGATCTACAGAGAGGAGGAGAGACAGAGAGGAAGATCTTCCGTCCCATGATTCACTCCCCAAGTGAGCACAACAACTGATGCTTTGCCGATCCAAAGCCGGGAATCAGAAACCGCTTCCAGGTTTTCCATGCAGGTGCAGAGTCCCAAAGCTTTGGGTTGTCCTTGACTGCCCTCCCAGGCCACAAGCAGGGAGCTGGATGGGAAATGGAGCTGCCAGGATTAGAACTGGCGCCCATATGGGATCTTGACACGTTCAAGGCGAGGACTTTAGCTGCTAGTCCACGCCGCCAGACCCAGAAAAGCATACTTTTTAAGAGAGAGAAGGAGGGAGAGGAAGAGGTCCTCCATCTGCTGATTCACTCCCTAAATAGCTTCAAAGGCCAGAGCTGAGCTGCTACAAAGCTGGGAGCCACTCTTATGTTAGCCAAAAGCTAGAAGATGATCCTAGTTATATAATCTATAAAACGTGAACTAATTCTACACCTGAAGTTCTAAATAGCTATAAGGTTTTGCTATTATAAATCAATGCTGCACTCAATGTTAGCTCATTCCTTTTGCATCTGGATTTCTTAGGCTAAAGTTTCTTATATTTATTATTCCTGAACTAATGCCTAGGATTCATATAAAAAAATCCAGTAAAAGGAAGTGAGATGAACAGCATACTTAAAAAAAAAGACAGCTTACCTCTCTTCGTTGTTTTCCATCTGATTAGGGAAAGCAGCAAAGTCTAGCAGCAACTTAATGGCATCAAGGTACCCGTTGTTACAGGACCAATGCAAAGCTGTTCTTCCCTGAAGGCAAGTACACCAGGAGTAAGCATATATGAACACGTGATCATTTAGGCTAACTCAAGATTACAAACAATTCCTTATCTAAATGGCTTACTTACAAAAAGGGGTATGCATACAGTGGGTAAACATATAGTATTAGAGGTGGTATCTGAGAAAGATTTGGTATCACATATGTAACATTTCAACCAAAAATGTGAAACTTGATGCAAATTAGGGGGAAACACAATGTAAACCCAAGTTGAGTAGAATTCCATAGATCACTAAATTTCAATGACTAAATTAAATAGTTGTAATGTCATGAATAATAGATTATTTGTTGAACAAGTCAAAGAGGAAAATATTACAATCCTAAACTCTATCCACCTAATAACACAGCTTTTAGTCAAACAAGACCAAAAATAAAGAAGAGCCAGATAGTCAAACTGATAATCAAAGTGGGCAGTTTCAACACTTTTAAAAAATATTTATTGGAAAGGCAGATTTACAGAGAGAAGGAGAGACAGATAGAAAGATCTTCGGTCGCTGGTTAATTTCCCAAGTGGCCCGAAGAATCAAAGCTGAGCTGATTCGAAGCCAGGAGCTTAGTGCTTTTTCCAGGCCTCCCATGTGAGTGTAGGGTCACAAAGCTTTGGACTCCACTGCTTTCCCAGGCCATAAGTAGGGAGCTGGAAGGGAGGTGAGGCAGCTGGGACATGAACCAGCACCCATATTTTATCCTAGTGTGGGCAAGGTGAGGAGTTTAGCCACTGAGCCAACACACCAGGTTCTCAACATATTTTTCATAATAGTTTATAGACTACAAAGACAGGAGATCTAAATGAGACAGTGTAAGGATTTTCCCCAAGTGGTATATAGAACATTGTGTTCAACAGAGACAAAATTATTAGTTTTTTTCAAATGTACAATTTTTTGTCAAAGTTAATCATATGCCTGGCCATAATGAACTCCCCAAGAATAATGCTTCCCAGCAAAGGTATTCACATTATAATCCATGGAACCTGTGAATATGTGCATAAGGTTGCTAATCATTAGATCTTGAAATGGGGAAATTATCCTCCACTATCCATGGAGACTTGCCACAATAATAATTGTCTTTACAAAGAAAAGATGGAGGAAAAGAAAGTGAGAGTCAAAGTAATACAATATAAGAAAGTCAAGTATCCATTAAGGCTTTGAAATGGAACGAATGGGGACATGAGCCAAGGAATGTAGGTATCCTCTAGTAGCTGAAAAAGTTAAGAAAGAAATTCTCTCTTGCATCTCCAAAAGAAATGCGGCTTTGCTAACAACTTGCCCTTTTAGCCCAGTGAAACCCATATTGGACTCCTGACACGTGGAACAGTAAGATAACAAATTTGTGTTGTTTTAACTACTCAATTTGTGACAATTTGTTACAGTACTAATTGGTCAAGACAGAAAAGAAAATATCAATTTAAAATATTTCAACTGGATGACAGTGAAAGCATAACTTAACCAAATTGATAGGACACAGCTAGAGTTGTGTTTAGACAAAACATACTTAACAATATATTGTTTCTTTGTGATTAAATATTATTTGACATTAACCTGGGAATGATTTTGCAAAATTCTCAGCAAACAGAAATGTAAGAAAATTCTTAGGAAATACTGCACTCAGTGGTAAAACACTGGAAGCTGTGCTCTGAAAAGTCAGAACAACTTAAGGAATTAAGTATGCAAACTATAATCAATCCTATACACCATTACTTTGGAGATCCTAGCTGGTCCAATAAGCTAAGATTAAAAAAAAAAAAGGACCTAAGAACTAGAAATGAAGAAATCAAAGCATCATGTTTCAGATACCATGATTATTTCTGTAGATAATTCAATCAATGCACACAAAAACTAGTAGACCTAGGAAACAGCCTCGTGTGTTAGAACTGTAAAGCAGCTTAAACGCAACTGTAAAGTGAATTTTAGCTCTGTGTTGTTTACATACAAAATTAGCAACTTGGTTAAATGTAGAGGGCTGTATAAATGATAATTTGGTTTTCTTGTGCAGTGGGTTAAGCCCCTGCTTGGGACACTCCATCTTATACTAGAATCCCTTTTCAGGTCTTCATTATTTCGCTTCTTGCTACAGCACATTCCAGGAGGCAGCAGATGATAGTTCATGTATGTGCCTGCCCATCATGAGACCATGATGCAGTTCCTGGCTGTCGGCTTTGGCCTGGCCCAGCCGTGGCTGTTATAGGCATTTCAGGAATGAACTGCGGAAGGAAATGTCTTTCTTTCAGTCATTCTCTCAAATAAATCTTTTTAAAAAGTTGCATTCTAAATAATATAAAGACAAGGATCATGCTTCATAATTTTAAATTATGTATAATTTATGTTCACATATAGTAACAATCTTGATGAACATTTACTGACACTGGAGAAAGAAAAGAAAGAAAAAAAAAAGAATTGAAACATTTGCCCACTTTCTTCCATACCTTGAACCTCCCAATCCTGATTGGAGGCCCACATGGGTATGTATCCCTCTCAACTATGTAATCAATATTAAAAACTTCAAATTAAAAAAAGGAATTAATAATTTGGAACTGGTACAATGGGGTCACAGGCCAGTCCTCAACCTGCAGCACTGGCATCCCAAATGCATTCCAGTTCATGTCTCCAGCTGCCCCACTTCCGATCCAATTCCTTGCTGGTGGCCTGGGAAAACAGTGAAGGATGCCTCAAGGCCTTGGGCCCCTAGATCCACATGGGAGATCTTAGGAAGCTCTTGGCTCCCAGCTACAGACCAGTATGGCTCTGGCTGTTGCAACCATTTGGGAAGGTGAACCAGTGGATGGAAGCTCTCTTTCTCTGTGTTTTTCCTGTTCTCTCTCTAGCTCTTTCAAGTAAATAATAAATCTTCAAAAGATTACATAACTGGGAAAAGTACAGGCTAACTTATCATTAAGAAATCAGTTTGGTAGGTCTCATAATCACGTTTATCTACCATTTGTTGCTTTGCTTCAGTGGTATCACTTAGGGGAAATTATTCTGAGGCTTAAAAGTAGAAAAGTCACAGAGATTATTATTTCAACATTGTGTGTGATAATTTAACATTTTCTAGCACTATTCATGCAGTATCTAAATTTCATGAGTTTCCATTTCCTCATCTATAAAATGGTAGTAGTAACTTTAGCATTGAATGAAACCTGAATTAGCTGATAAATATAAAGCTCTTAGGACTTTGACATATTAGAATCTTGATCATTAAAAAAGATATAAAAATGGTGAAAATGATAATTTTAGGTAAAATTGTAATTATGCTCAAATACATATACCATCTACATCTTTTACAAAAGGTAAAAATTATTCCCAATTTAGTCTAGGACTGTTAAATTATCTATAGATACGGATAAGGACCAGAAAAGAACACAGACAAAACATAATCAAAATTAATAGACTTGTAGGCGATCTCTTCATTTGGAAAGCTGTGTGTCACTTGAGTTTACTACAAATAAGGAATGCTCTAACCACTATGGAACAAATTTGATACAGAAAGACTCAGAATATCTACCTCTTTGTCTTGAATATTAGGGTCTGCGTTATTTTCCATGAGCACTGCCATGCAGTTAATGTATCCTCCATATGCAGCACACTGCAATGGGGTTCTTCCTGCATAATCTTGCACATTTGGATTGATCTTGTTTTCTATCAATATCTGGCAAACGTCAGCATTGCCACCTAGTGCTGCCCAATGTAAAAGTGAATGCCCATCTTGATCAACCAGGTCTACTCTTGCACCGCCTGGGAAAGCAAAAACATAATGAAAATGTTTTATGCAGCACTTAACGAACAGAAATTAAATTGTTTATTTTATATAAATGCTCCCACATATGCAATGTCCACTTCGTATTTTTAAGATGGATATGGTAAGTAAAGAAATCATTCCTCTTTGACATAAAATGGAAGATAAGCAGGCACAGTGAGTTTTCGAAACCAAACCACTACCAGTGGGTAGATTTACAAATAGAACTGGAGGATCCTGGGTTGGGTGTTTTTCCCTTCAGCTTTCTACCTGTGTTATATGGTTGTTCACCACTTAAAGCTTTATTGCAGACAGACCATGCAAATATCCATACCTTCTGACAGTCCTCTATGAACTAACCTTTGATAAGTGTCTGAATCACATCCTTGTGTCCCATCTCACAGGCTCGGAAAAGTGGAGTATGTTTCATGACATCAACAGCATCTACTTGAGCATTGTTTTCCAATAATAACTTCACGGTGCTGACGTGGCCGGAAAGGGCAGCTGCGTGTAAGGCTAAAAGGGAAGTAACAAAAAATGACAAACTTTTAAATAATGACTTTACTTTCTTCTTATTATTTTTATTTGAATGGAGATTCACAATTTGTTATTGGTGAAAGTCTCTTTTTATTACTGGTGTGATGGCTCCACTGGCTAATCAATCCTCCACTTACAAACATGACATCCCTTATGGGTGCCAGTTTGTGTCCTGGCTGTTCCAATTCCTGCCTAGCTCCCTGTTTATGGCCTTAAAAAGCTGCAGAGGATGGCCCAAAGCCTTGGGACACTGCACCAACATGGGAGACCTGGAAGAACCTCTTGGCCCCCTGTTCCATACTGGTTCCTGGCTTTGGACTGGCTCAGCTCCAACCATGGTGGCCAATTGGGGACTAAATAGAAGATCTTTCTATTTGTCTCTCCTTCTCTCTGTAAATCTGCCTTTCCAATAAAAATAAATATTTTTTGGGGAAATGTAGTGAAAATTAATATGAACATAGGTGGAAAGAGAGAGAAGTACTCATGCATGCACTACAGGGATGGACTCACAACAAAATGACTGGTAATCTACACTGTTGGAAGACACCTCAGTGGCAACATGATAGATTTGTGAGAATTCAGGAAAGATACCCATTGTAGACTGGAGGGTAGAACAGAAAGGAGGAGAGGTAACTTGGGGAGGGGGACAGGAGACCCCAATGTCTATTAAACTGTATCATAAAACAACAACAACAACAACAAAAATAAATAAAGATGTAATTCTAGGGTCCGGCATGGTGGGCCAGCGGCTAAAGTCCTCGCTTTGAACACTCATTCACTCTTCAAGTGACCATCATGGCTGGAGCTGAACTGATCCAAAACCAGGAACCAGAAGCTTCTTCCAGGCCTCCCACGTAGGTGCATTGTTCCAAGGCTTTGGGCCATCCTCTATTGCTTTCCTAGGCCACAAGCAGGGAGCTGGATGGGAAGTGGGGCAGCTAGGACACTTAACTAGTGCCCCAGCACATGCAAGGTGAGGATTTTAGCCACTAAGATACCACACTGGGCCTCAAATAGATAAATCTTATTTAAAAAATATCTTCTTAATGGTAGGAAAAGTACAATCCTATGAAAAGGAGCTCATCTTCACAGAAGAGAAATGACAAAAAAGGCATCTCTGATGTATAACAAAATCCTCATTGAAAAAATAACCCAACAGCTAATTAAGTGATCAAGCATTTATGTATGAACTCCAATCCTGGTGCACATTAAAAAGGCATTCCCGGAAGAAAGGATGCAACTGTCTTTGCCCACATCTTGTCTAAATACAAGAAAAAGTTAACCAAAAGACAATGTTAATGGTAAACAGAAGACCACATGTTAATGGGAACTGGAGAAAAATGAACTGTTGAGATAATTTGTAAAGTCAATGTCCAATGTGTGTACAGCATTTCCTGCAGGAAACTTCAGATCTGCTGTGAAACTTTGATAAAGAAATACTTTCAAATGTGTTAGTACTTCTTATAAAATAGATTTTGTTTATATCCTGTTGCAAAATAAATTTTAACGTGCGGTGGTGTGGTGGTGTTGGAATTAAAGGAGATTATTAGGCACATCAACAGTTTTGGCAGACAAGAAAGATCTTTTATGACAACAGGTAGGTACAAATGGTTTTTAGCATGTTTCTGTAAATTAAAAAAAATTAGCACTGAGAAATTTGTGTCACCTTGTTGAGATGTGATTTTTCTCTTTCTAATATGAAATTAAGAAATACTAAGCAAGACAGATATGTTCAAGTTTACACTGAATGGTAAAAAACAAATACATATAGCTTTGGGACCCTTCACATGCATGGGAGACCCAGCTCATGGCTCCTGGAATGGATTGGCTAAGTTCCAGCCATTGTATTCTGTGAAATATAATTCTAAACTTTTGAAAATATAATAATTATTATACAGGCATGATTTTAAAGTATAGGTTTGTGTTTTTACAATAAGTTACAAGATCACAAGAGTTTCTATATCAGAGAGAAACCAAAGTTTTAAACCAAATACTTGGTATGAACAAATACTAATTTTAGCCACGAAGCTTGAAAGAAATAAGGCCTTTGAAGTGAACAGCCTGGAAAATCCAAACTGACAAGGTGCAGGTCAAATTAGGAACAAGGATTTCAGGTTAGTACTTTGTAAACTTTATAGCATCATATAGATTTATAGCCTGAATGAAAATAAACAGAATCTGTCCACTATTTCTTACCTGTGCCTCCATATTTGTCTGTCATGTTAATATCAATGTCAGATTTTAAACTCAGCATGGTCCTAAGGACATCATCACTGCCTTTCCCAGCTGCCCACATAAAAGATGTTCTTCCTTCAAGGTCTGAATCATCTTTCACTGAAGGATGTTTTAAAAACACTTCAACTGTTTCCTGTAAGAAAATTTCATTTAAAAAAATTGAGATTACAGGGTATCATGTTCTATGGTAACGATGCCACTACTGTATGTGACTTTCACTGATAAGAAAGGTATTTACATCTTTGTATGAATGCCACAATTTCTACTGACAACAGTAGTTCTTTGTCCTCTATTGGCAGTAGACTCTGTAACACTTTAAAAACCTCTTTTAGGCATAAAAAAAATGTAAATGGCCATCTTCAATTAAACTTGAGGGTGAGGTCACAGGTGAAGTAACAAAAGATTCAATACTATTCAATGTCATGATGAACACTAAAATATGTTTTCTTGGGGCTAGTGTTGTGGCATAACTGGTTAAACCACTGCCTATAATGCTGGCATCTTCTATGGATACCGGTTCAAGTCCCAGGAGCTCTACTTCCAATCCAGCTCCTTGCTAATGTTCCTGGGAAATCAGAAGGGGATAGCCCTAGTCCTGGGGCCCCTTCAACCTTGTGGGAGACCCAAAGGAAGCTCCTGATTTCTGGTGTGGCCTGGCTTACCCTTGAAAGTTGTCACCATTTAGGGAATGAACCAGTGAATAGAAGATCTTCTCTCTCTTTCTCTGTAATTCTGTCTTCCACACAACAACAAAGGGTCAAGGGCTACAGGAAAGTGGGTAAGACTACTGTTTCCACACTAATACAATTTTTTTTTCCTGGGTCAGGGGAGAAACAAAGGGAAAAGCCCCACCCAGCTTTCCACCCATCTCAGATCCCTGATGTAAGGCACGCTCTGAGGGTTCTGCTCAAGCAGTTTTGATAGTTCAATAGTTCTGAACTGCTGCCAATCTAGCCATTCCAAGCATGATGAAATCCATTCAGAATCCACTGGTTGGGGTTCTGAAATTAGTAGTTCAGTTAGAGAGATCTCCAAAGGAACTTCATCTGAGGTGACACCCCAATCAGCTTATGCACATGCTGGTTGTTGGAATTGCTGGGTCGGTTCTGTGTCCAGCCTTTTCTTCCACTAGGACCAATGGTTGTTGCAGTCCAGCATGATCCTGCCCACTTCATACTCGATCCTCACACAAACCAGTGGGAGCTGCAGCCTAGTTGGGGAGACTCACTATAACCCCCACCAGGCCTGCTCCCTCCCCTGGTTCCCATGCTTGCCAGTATGGACTGCAGACTTGTTCAGTCTGTCTTGGACAATTTTCATACAGACACACACACATACACTTTCAGGCATGCCTCTGGGGAAGAGGGATGTTTCTATAGTTTTTGTCATTGTTTTTCTTCTTTTTTTCCTGTATTTCATTTTTTATTATTAAGCGAAAGAAGTACTTTGGATAATTGTTCACAATGTCTTCCCACTTGTTTCTTACTCCCATTAGTGCAGTTAGTTTAGCTCTGGTATTTGCAATTTGTTAAAGTTGGAGTCCAAGACTGGTGTTCAAGGTCATGGATATTTCATTTTACCTTTTGGAGTTTAATTTAAAAAAAAATTTTTTTTTATTGGAAAAGCATATATACAGAGAGGAGAGACAGAGAGGAAGATCTTCTGTCTGATGATTCACTCCTCAAGCGACCACAATAGCTGGAGCTGAGCCAATCTAAAGCCAGGAGCTCCTCCGGGTCTCCCACGTGGATACAGGGTACCAAAGTCTGGGGCCGTCCTTGACTGCATTCCCAGGCCACAGGCAGGGAGCTGGATGGGAAGCAGGGCCACCAGAATTAGAACCAGTGCACATATGGGATCCTGGTGCGTTCAAGGCAAGGACCTTAACCATTACGCTATGGCGCTGGGCCTGGAGTTCAATTTTTTTTAAATATGTAATTGAGATAACATCACCTGTCCTATAGACTTGTGTTAAATCATAGAGTTCTAATTTCTACAGATTGACCAGAAAAGACCAAGTGAATTTTAAAAATCTATTTGTGATAAGAAAAGCTCCTCCTCAAAATACTACTTTGTATTTTTCTGAGATGTAGGGAAATAACAGAAGATAAACTGTTTGCTTAGAAATGTCGACCAGAACTGTAGCCATCTTTGTTCTGGATACTACAGTAAGAAAGGTGTAGAAATAGCAGCAATCTAAATATTTGGTAGAACATCTGGAGAGGTTATTAAGATGCACTAATACTTTGCTGATGACAGTGTCATAATTTAATTAAGCCAAGGCGTTCACTAAGCACACTTGTGTTGAAGGAGGCAAAATTAACTATGACCACTTTAATGAATGCCTCTTTGGACGAATCTCTGGGTCTTGGTGACCATTTGGAATCAGGTAGCTGATATAGCCTTGACAGTACAACTTGGAATAAATAAAAGATGAAAAAATGTTTTTAAACTATTAAAAGCTGCAAGGAGAGTTATTGATAATATTCATTATTTTTGGAAGTAATTCATGTCTTTTTTTCAGATGTGTCAAAAACAGCTGTCATAGTAATAAATAATTTTATTATTATATGATTTCACAAAAACTCTGTCACTTGCATCAGACTGAACAGCATGAGCTACTGTTAAGAATAATTGTTATAGAAATCCAGACAAATGAGTACATGTAAAACTGGTGAAATTTGAAAAAGACGAGTAGATTACATTAATGTTAATTTCTTGGTTTTATTGCACTAGATGTTACTGTTAGAATAACTGGATGTAGGGTAGATAGACTCTTGCTGTATGACTTCTTCTAACTTCATATAATTCTGCAACCATAACAAAATAAAAAATTGGAAAAAAGAATTGCCTTGTTTTACTTACAGCAAAGTTACTCTGAGCTGCATAATGCAGGGGTGTTGCACCTTGGCTGTCAGATGGGATAGTTCCAGACTTATTTCTTTCTAAAAGGAGATGGACAATCTGTGCATGGCCTGAAAACAGACACAACAAAGTAGCTATCATACACAAAGGACACTAAACAATTTATAACGAATTTAAAAGAAGACCATAACAAAATATTCACAATGGTTTCTGTCTAGCAGTACCACTGCCACCTCTTCTAAACTCACTAGAGTACCAATACAAAGTAGAAGTGAAAACAGCAATTAACTAGTACTTCAGATAGAAAGTAAACAACATTAATTATAACTGCCAGACTGAAAGAAAAAGAAGACTACAGTAGGTATCATTATCTCTTTGCAATTCTCTGGTTTCACTTATAAAGCTGCATGTCACAAAGAAGAGAATGTTTTAGAGCCAGGCTCTTCTAGCCTTCATGGTCCCTGTTCTCAGGGGTCCACTGCCCAAGACACTCAGAACTGACCACTGCTCTCTTCAGGTGGAAAAACAATACAATCTCTCTGATTTATGAGTCCTAATCATCTCCTCTAACTCCATCTTTCAGTCTTTTAACATCTAGGCATTGATCTCAAATTCCAGGGGAAAAAAAAAGGTATTATGAGGTAGTTGCTAGCACAATACTTTGCAGAGCATTCTGGAAAAGGTGGTCTTCACCAGTGAAGAACTGTAGAAAAGACCAAGAATGAGTGAACCTGGTCATCATATATGTCGGAAGCATGGATTTCATTCACTCTATTGCTTCAGTGCTCGGGGGCACTGGGCAATGATGTATTAGCAAGCACACACTGCATGAAAGCCAGGCAGAAAAAGAAATCTGCATGGCAATTCTGCTCATTTATAGGTTCTCCAAACATGGTTTAAGATGCAGTTCTCCATAATTCAAAGGCAGGATCAAAGGCAACCTATACACAGAATTCCCTTAACACATCCCTTCTTTCGGGAACACAGAGAAACATTTAGTAAAGACACTCTAAAAACATACATCAGGACAGGCTGAAAAAGAGCATTGTTAAAGAGCATACCTCTGAAATGATCTACAGAAGGATACAGAGGAACACTTCGGGTATCTGTCTGGCTTCTTTGTCTAAGTAGAAAAAGAGATGCTTCTATGAAAGAGAAACAGAATATCCTAAGAAGAAAAGAGACTAAAATACAAAGGTAACAGAAGAAGGTGAAAAGAAAACAGGATGGGATAAAAAGAAAAATGAATGAGAGAAGGAAATAAAAAGGTCATCTAAAACATATCCACAGAGGAGGCAGAAAGAAAGCAGAATTGATGGAACAAAAAAGTCAATTTAGTACTGTGAAGATAAATTTACTGCGAATGCCTAAAATCTAGAGGAAAAGGAAAAAACAACACACCTTGATGTTGAAAAGGAATCTAAATAATCACCTTAAATCTGATTATAAAACTAAATGCAACAAAAACCATGTTCAAAAGGACAATGACCAAGATGATAACTGGAAGCCCAGATTACACTAACAGTTACTCCCAGAGCCATGTGTGAAAGAGTGCTTCATTCTTTTTTTCAAACAGGTAGGAATTAACATGTGTTAGTTTTACTCCTGACTTTAACTCAAGCTTAAAAACGTTTTTGTAATAAATACAAAAGAAATATAGATAGAATCTCAGAAGCCCTTCTAAAGCATTAGGCAATTAGATATTACCATTGATACTACCACTCCTAGTACAAGCAGCAGAAAGCATAAAACAAGGCAAACAGAAGATACAAAATAATAACAAAATAAAATAATCCCCCAAGCTAAGAAAAAAATCTGGAGGCTGACGTTGAGGTCTATCCAATAAACCTGCCACTTGCAATGCTGGCAACCCATGTGGGCATCTGTTTAAGTTCCAGGTGCTTCCCTTTTGATCCAGCTCCCTACTATTGCACCTGGGAAAGCAGCGAGGATGCTCCAAGTGCGTGGTCTCCTGCACCCATTGGGAGACCTGGAAGAAGTTCCAGTCTCTTGGCCTTTGTCTGACTCAGCACTGGCTGAATCTGCAGCTATCTGGGAACGAACCAATAAGATCTCTCTGCTTTCCCCTGTCACTTTGTAACTCTGCCTTTCAAATAAATACCACAAATTTTTAAAAAATGTAATAGTAAAAACTGAAAATATTATTTAAAAAAATCAGGGATATCAGGGGAAAAATTGAATTATTATCTTTAAAACTATTCATTTACCCTCAAAAATCTAACACAAAAACAAACAATATGAACATATATGTTCTCTCACATTAAAAAGTTACCCAGCTCCATGCAGGACTTGGGGTGGGTGGGAAATTGGGTGGGCCTTTTCCCTTAATACCCCCCTTTAAACATGAAGGAAACAATATGGAAATAATAGTCTTATCCACTTTCCTATAGCCCTTGAACCTTTTTACCCTAATTAACTATGTAAAGATTGTAAAAATATAATAAAAATATTTTTAAAAAGTTACCCAGCTCAGAAAATCAAATATATTAGCATACACATGAAACTAAAGTGCTCTCTTCAAAAATATAGGCAGTTGCTTACTACATTTGTAGTAAAAACTATGAGAGAATGTTGTAATTAAAACCAATTTTAGAAGACATTACCTCCTATTACTAAAATATAAGCATAAAATAGAGGGGTTTATTTTACAAAATCATCCAATATATCAGTTATAAATTAAAATAATAAAAAAGGATGTGGAAATCAGAGGGGAAGAGAAGTCAGACATTTTCCTACACTCGGTCCCTCCCTCCTATTGCTGGATCTTTGTTTTATATACAACTTACCTAACAAAGCTGCCCAGTGAAGTGGGGTTCGAAACAAATTATCATAAGATGTTATATTGCAGCTTTCATAGGAGGTCAAGAGGTCAACCACTGTCACATTTCCATCAGCAACTGCGAAGTGAAGAGGTGTCCGGCCCTCATAGTCTTGCCAGTTCAGTAAAGACTCTGTTGGAGCAGCATCCTGTTTCAAAGGAACCAGAGATTCCTTGATGAATTAAGCTTGGCATAAGCATTAACTGAGCAAATTTCTTAGCAAATAATCTACATTCTCTATCAACATGAGTGATAAATGTAAAAAAAGTATGCAGTCTAAATCTTAAATTTTTTTTTCACGTTTAATTGCAGAAACAAATATGAAAACCACTGCATAGTGCTTATCCAGACCAAACAGGAGTCAATATCATGCCTAATGTGCTTTTGTATCTGTTTTTGGTTCAGCTATAGCTGTATGTTCTGCACTTTTGTACATATCAAGACATTCATAAATAATACGTAGGTTTTGTATGTGTGTTTTCAATATTTTCATTATGGTAATATTTATGTATGTTCTTAGGTAACTTATTTCTTTTTTTTAACATTTATTTTTTATTGCATTTGATTTTATAACAACGTTTCACAGGCTCTGATGTTCCCCCTTCCCCTCCCCTTGCCCTATCCCCATGGTGGATTGCTCCACCTTATTGCAGTATTACAGTTCAAATCTAGTCCTGTTTCTTTCAATGCAAGCATGTGCCATGCATAGAGTCCAGTATCTTATTGCCCAGCTGAATTCAACAGTTTCTTGGGGAGACCAACTCTGGTCTGGAGACACAGCTGGCAGATTATCGTTCTGACCAATCAAATGCCATAACATAACATCAACAACAGTTTCCAACATTATGGGGTTAATTAACATTGTATTGAGTGACTGATGTGTTAGACAATGTGAGTTCTTAACCGCATCCTGAGACTACTTCATTAACGTTTCAATTATAGTTTGTATACAACTGGCTTCTATCTAGCTTAAATTGCCTATAGGATACCATTCAGCTACCTCATGTCTATTTTCATTTTTTAGCAGTATATTGTGTTGAAGCATAATTTTTTTACTGAAGTTGGCAGATTTTAGCATAGTCTAAACTGGCTTATACCTTTAGCAAGGCATAAAACACTTCTGAATCAAAAAAAATTGGACTAGTAGTAACTAGGCTAAACAATAATCAAATCTCAAAATTTTACTTGTTATTACAAATCAAGAAAAAACTGGGAAATTTGTCTTTTGAGTACTGCCTTAGTTCTCTAAGCAGACAAGAAAGGCAGTGGAAGATGGCCCAAATGGTTGCACTCCTGTACCCACGTGGGAGGCATTAAACAAGTCCCTGGCTCTTGGCTTCAACCTGGCCATGATGCAGCTGCTGAGACTATTAAGGGAGTGAACAAGCAAATGGAGGATCTCTTTGTCTCTCCTATTCTCTCTGTAACTCTGCCTTTGAACTAAACGAATAAATCCATTTAAAAAAAGGAAGCAGGGCTACGCTTTTTAAAATGAAGAAAAGAAATTGTGGCATGTATTATAAAATGGACTACTGCTCAGGTATAAAAGAAAGAATGAAATCCTGTCTTTTCCAACAAAATATTTGTAACTGGAGACCATTATGCTTAGAGAACTAAGGCAGTACTCAAAAGACAAATTTCCCAGTTTTTTCTTGATTTGTAATAACAAGTAAAATTTTGAGATTTGATTATTGTTTAGCCTAGTTACTACTAGTCCATTTTTTTTTTTGATTCAGTGGAAGGTTAAAGTTTGACTATAAGGAAGATTTAAAGTATGCCACTGTGAAAAGTGAAAGAAAAAATAAGAAAGAAAAGAAGAAGGGTAAAGTGAGGGAAAGAAGGATAGCAGAGTAGGAAGTATAATGTGCTTAAGAAGTTGTATATATAAAGTACATTGCTTTACATGGGTAAAAATTTAAAAACCAACCCAACAAAAATAAGAATATACAAGAAACAAAATAAACTGAGAGACTAATAAAAATGGAAATTGATCAAAGTTGTCATTGAAGAAATGGAAATGAGCATGGGGTCTACAGAATAAATGCATAGAAAATTTCTAATGTGGTCTAAGTGCTGGCATTGAAGTGTTCAACTTGGGAAATAAGTCCACATGTTTGTTGTATATCACTATGTGCTCTTGAATATAATGGATACTTCATAACAATTTTTTTTTTCTGATAAAGACCATTGAGGACTAGCACTACTCTACTCACCAGTATGCATCTGACGGTGTGAACAGCGCTTGGGTCTTTATGGTTGGTTGCCCAGTGCAGTGGGATCTTGCCTTCCACGTCCGGAATCCCAATGTTGGAGTCATGCTTGATGAGCAGTTTCACATGCTCAGGGTTATTGTAGTAGGCACTCCAATGCAGAGCTGTTTGCTGCAGAATAACAGTGAACTTTTCCTAAGCCGTTATAATGTGAAAGGCACTGTTGTAAGAGTTCTCTATGTTTTACTTCAAGATATTTCTGGGAGAGAATGACTTATTTTAATTTGCATGTGTTTCGTGAGAAAACTGAGCGTAAGAGGCCAAGAAATCTCCTCAAGGACATGAAGGTAGAAAGGGGTTGGACTCAGGTTGATCCTGACAGAATCCTTCAGAATGTGATCCACCATCATGAGAGACAGTTAACTCATTGGTTACTACAGTAACACAGACGTGAGAACAGTGAATAATTACCACTGATCATCTTGATACCACCTATCTGGTTATCACCATGCCCCTCAGAATTTGATAAAATGTGTTAAGAATTAGTATATATCACAAAGAAGATCAATGCATTGGGAATTCATGGATTTGAAAGCCATTTATTTTATCTAACACAAACTTACTTTGATTAATTTATAGGATAAACTGTTAAGTATAATTGCTGATGACATATTTCATCTCGATAATAGGTGTATGTAATAGCGCTTAGCTTACTTTAGATATAAGTTAAGCACGATTAAGCTTTAAAATCTCTTCTGACATTCTCCTCAACACACCTATATATATCTTACAGTTGGGAGATTTATAGAGGCAAGTAAAAAACTATTTGATACACATTATCTCTTGTGTAGCAATATCATCAATCCTATTGAGAATTAGATAATTTAACAAGCATGAACTAAGCTCATCTGTCTGATTAAACACTTAAAAAATTCATACATGTGGTATTCACTCAACTGTATTTATAGGAATTTAATACTAAGAATCAAAATTTAACTAATTACTGTCGTTTAGTAAGAATTGCAGAACAAGAAGTTCTAAATATTTTAACTCTAATTGCATAAAGCCATATTTTTATGAACATGTACAGTTTCTATCATTTCTTCCTTTTCTTGCATTATATTCTGATTTATTTAGTGAAATATAATATTATACCTGTTGAATATAATGGTAAACAGTTTGCACATGGGAGGCTGGTATTTGGTGCAGCTAAGACACCTGTACTTAGAACACCTGTATTTTTTGGTTAAACACCTGGAATTGTAGTCTTGGCTCTTCCCATTCCAGCCTCCACTGAAAGCACACCCTTGGAGGGAGCAGTCATGGCTCCAGCAGCTGTGCCTGCCACTCATGTGGGAGATCTGGAGTCACTTCTGGAGTCCTGGTTTCCACCAGCTCCAGATCCAGCCCTGGTGCTGTGGGCATTTTGGGGAGCAAACTAGGGAATGGAAGAATTCTTTCAGTTTGTCTCTGTCTTTTGTATTATTTATATATATATACAATTTATATATAATTATATATATATATATATATAAAGTTTGGCTTTGTCTTTTCCATATTTTTGCTTTTTTGTTTTTTTCCAGTAGTTATTTTTATCTTGGAAAAATAGGCATAACATAAGTTATTTTAACCATAAGTATACAGTTCAGTGGAATTAAATATGTTGTTGTATAAGCATCATTGTGATCTATTTCCAGATTTTTTTACCTTCCCAAATGAAGACTTGGTCCCCATGTAATAACTACACATTCTCACCTTCCTCCAGCTCCTTGTAAGCATCATCACAGTTTCAATTTCAATGAATTTGACAATTCTAGGGTCCTCCTGAGATGAATCATATGCTTCTCCTTTTGTGTCTGACTTATTTCATTTAGCATATCATTTCTCCAAAGTTCTCCAAAGACATGCTCGGCACATGTCAGAATTTCATTCCTTTTAAAGACAGAACCGTGAGGTGTGTGTTGTGGTGCAGTGAGTTAAGCTGCAGCTTAGGATACCCACATCCCATACTAGAGAACAAAGTCAAGTCCTGCTTTCAATTATGCTCTCTGCTTATGGACCCAGGAAGCAGTAAATAACTGCTCCATTACTTGAATCCCTATTGCCCTTGCAGGAGACCTAGATGAAATTCCTGGCTCCTTCAGCTTTGCCCAGCTCCAGCTCTACTATCCATTTGGAGAAGGAACCAGAGGATCTTTCTTTCTCTGAGATTCAGATAAAAACATCTTTTACAAAATGACTGAATTGTATTCCATTAGGTACACAGATAAATATTCATAGACATATCTGTAATTACCACATTTTGGTTTTAATGCATGTTAGGAAATAATTGATCTGATAGGATTTTTTTTAAAAAAATAACACAGAGAGTTTGAGTCACTGCTCTAGGCTGCATTCTCGCTCTTTCTCTGTACTTGCTTGGATACTGCAAATCTGTCTTCTCTCTGCCTGTCTAGATGACCTCTCATCCATGTTCAACAACAAAAGAAAAGATACTAGAAGATACCAAAAAGTTTCTGGAATGAGGATAAGCTCAAGAAATTTGTGACTATTGAGACTTTGTGGATTGATTGAAGTACTTTTATTCAGTAAAATATTAATGTTACAAATGACATGAGTTGCAGTTAAAGCTGATCTCAAAGCTTCAGCTGATACCTCAACAAAATGTAGAAACTACATAAGCAACACTGTGAAAGAATTGTTATAAAAATCGTGGATATAATCCTAAGAGTTTCAAATGGAGGTTTAGAATTCTGTGATTAAGTGCTTGGTGAAAAGAAGAGGATTGCTGTTATCTAAAGATGACACTTTTTTTCTTTTAAAGAAAGATCAAGGCATCAATGAAAGCAGTGACCAGTGTGTACAATACATGAAAATGAAAGATTAAGAAAGAAAACAAATCCTAGCTGCAAATGCCAGAGCATATATTAATCCTGAAATTAAGCTGGCAATTATTTTATAGCTAACATTTATTAAAAATTTACTATGCATTGAGCTTTGTGCTGTGCAATTTGTATGTCTTATCTTTAAGAATAATTCCATTATCTCTTTCTCAAATATAATACTTAGGCACACAGAAGAATTTGTCCAAGGATGATGAAGAAGTGAGCATCAGCATCTCAGTTGAAACCCAAGAGGTCTAATGCCAAGTCCCAGGCCTTTGAACCACTTCTGCACTTAGGACAGTCTCCTAGGCATTGGTTACCGTGTATCCAACCACCTACCCTAATATGTCCATCTGCTAGATATTGAGTTTTGGAGTTACACAGCTCTGGGTTCTATGTCTGCCATTCGGATTTTAGGTTATACTTCAAACTTCCTGAGCTTCAGCTTTCCATCTATGAAAAAAGGGATCAAACATTTTACCATACATAGTTGTTAGAAGGTAAAATGATGGAATTTAAGTGAAATACTTTCTTGGGATGTATAGAAGAAATGGATTTGCTCTCCTACATATTTGAGGGGTGATTTCGGTCTTTTTCCTTGAGGTTTTTGTTTGGTGTCATTAAGGAAATATTTGCTTCCTGCTCTGATGTGTCTTCAACTCTGACAAATCATTACCTTGTTTTTATCCTGGGTATCCACCTCGCCTGGTGCCATAAACTTCAGTAGAAGAGCCAAACATTTAGGGCTCTTGTGTCGGGTGGTCAAGTGTAGAGGAGTCATCTCTTCTAGATCCTTTTGCATCCAATTTGCTCTTCGTGTAAGTAAGAGTTTCATGAAACGATAATTTCCCTAAATAAATGATAAAGAAAACAGGAGACAAGAAGCAATTAACTTTGGCACCCCAGATTTTAAAAATATAAATACTATAAGTGTTGTAAGCATACTCTTAGATTCATAACATTGAAAAAAAACTGATAAAGAAAAATATTTATAATTGTACAAGATATCAGATTTTTTTCCATTTCTTTCTAAAACAGTTTTTTTTATGTGAATATAGTCTACAATGTGATCAAAACTTTATTGGTCTATGGCAACATGTTTTATTTTACCTGTTTATTATTGGTAGTATTGATAATGTTTCTAATATTTTGTTTTATGGAGATTGCTTTTAATGTACATGTTTTCCCACAAGGCTATTTTCTTAATTTATACATGAGAATAAGTGATCAGGAACCAGACTGCTAAATCAAGCAAGTTTGCACATTTTATGATTCCTGGTGTATCTTTCAAATTATTATCTAGCAGCAGCAATATGAGGGTGCATTAGTTTCAGTATCTGCTGACCAAAATCACAGCTAGTACTTATAACCAAAACATAATGGCTTGTGACACAAGGACACATATTAAACTCTGATTTAAGAAGGAAGGAACTGAGATTCAAAGAGGCTGTTTGGATCAGGGTCTTCTGGCTCTTAAGGAGAAAGTGGTAAGTATTTATAGACAGAATTTAGAAACAGCTTACTCAAAATTCAGGTACAAGACTTATATGGTCACTTGAACGCCAACCTGGAATTCATTGTAGGCCCATCCTCTGGCAGGCCATAATCTTCCATGTTAGTTAAATCTTTCAATATGGCAGAATCAGCGTACTATGAGGAAAAAGCTCAAGGGCTAGAGCATTAAAATATTGCGGACCCAGGCCAGCCAGTGCTCAGAAAGCCTGTGTAACATGGGAGCTTAAGACAACACACAACTTCCTAAATACAGTTCTTTTGGTTCTCCCCTGAGATCTTGTCCCTTAAATCTAATTCTGGCTGAGGGCTTTTATAGGTGTTGTGTCACAGATACAGCAAGGTCAACATGACAAAAACAATATTGCATAACCAAGTTATCTGTTAATGCCCTTGATTCAAAGCATAATGTAGGTTATCTGGTGTTTTGGTTTTTTTTTTTTTCATTCGCTGAGACATCTCTACAATCTTGTGCTGGTTTGAGGTGGGGTCTTTTAGTATGATGGCATAATGACTTTCTATAATGAGTGGCTGCTGATAATAGGAAGATATTTGTTAATGAAACAAACATTGTGAATAATGTGAAGCTCTATGGCAAAGAGAACTAACTATAGCAACAATGAAGTGCAGAAGGACGAAGAAGGCCTGCCAGTTTGTTTACAGGGACCAAGAAAAGATTAACTCAGCCTATGGGTCAGGGCAGAGCTAAGAGGGTACAGACAGACTCAGGATAGGGAAGAGAGGTCTGTGAGATGAACCGAAATGGAATGCACTGAAGAGTAAACTAACTCAGCTCAATTGTTTCTTCTGAGAAAGACTTTCCTTAAAAAAATCTAAGTAGACGCCACTTTAGTATTCTTTTTTCTTTAGAAAGATTTTTTATAAAGGCAGATTTACAGAGAGGAGAGACAGAGAGAAAGATTTTCCATCCACTGGTTCCCTCCCCAAATGGCCACAATAGCCAGAGCTAAGCCAATCCAAAGGCAGGAGCCAGGAGCCTCTTCTAAGTCTTTCATACATGTGCAGGGGCCCAAGGCTTTGGACCATCCTCTGCTGCTTTTCCAGGCCATAAGCAGGATTGAAGGTGGAGGAGCTGGGACATGAATCAGCGATCCAGGTTGGAGGCAGAGGAAGAGCCAGTAGAGCCATCGTGCTGGCTCTTTCTAGCACTCTTTATTCTAACAACTTTTTGTTTCCTTCATAGTACACATCTCAGTTTATATTTACATATGTATTTATTTGTTTTTACTGTGATTTCCCCTATATGCAAACACTCGACAAAGGAAGAGACCAGCACAGTTCTTGCCACAAAATAAGTAGTTAATAAATATTATGCAAATGGTTATGTAAGTAAAAAGAAACAAAATATCTACCAGAAGTTTTTATTTTCATGTAAAAATCCCAACTCACCGTTTCTTTATTAGATTCTAAGAGCTAAAACTCTTCTTAAAAAATTTGAAAGTTTTTATTGGAAAGTCAGATTTACAAAGAGAAGCAGAGACACTCAGAAAGATTTTCTATCTGCTGGTTCACTCCCCAAGTGGCTGCAACAGCTGGAGCTGAGCTGATCTGAATCAAGGAGCTTCTTCTGGGTCTCCCATGCAGTTGCAGGGTCCCAAGGTTTTGGGTCATCCTCCACTACTTTCTCAGGCCACAAACATGGAGCTGGAAGGGAAGTGGAGCATCTGGGATATGAACTGGCACCCATACAGGATCCTGGTGGATGCAAGATGAGGACTTCAGACACTAGGCTACTGGCAGGGCCCAAGGGTTAAAACTTAAGTATTGAGAGGGGTGTTTCTTCCTGTGGTTTCAAGCACCACTTGGGATGCCTATATTCCATTTCAAGGAAATCTGGGTTCATGTTCTGATTCCACTTCTGACTTCAGCTTCCTGCTAATGTATACCCTGAGAGGCGGAGGTTGATGACTTTAGCATTAGGGCCCTGTTAACCCATGCAGGAATAAACTGGATTATCTTATTAGCTCTTGGACATTTGTGGAATGAACCAGGGGATAGGAGCTCTCTGTGTCTCTGACTTTTTTGCCTGTGAAAAAACAAAAAACAAATTAATATCTGACTTCTCAAGCAAATGTCATTTGATTATTCTTGTCATGTTTAATTTATCCGGGCTACACTAATAGTGTGTGTCATGTGTAACATTTATCTAGACTTCCCATTTCTTTCAATGTCTGCTCTTGAGAAGAGAGGTGTTAACATTTCCTCAAGAGGGCACCCTGCTCTAAATTTCTTGCTATATTTTCTTTGAAAAACAGGAAAGTACCTAGAAAAAGCAAATCTATGTAATCCTGCATATCAAAAAATAAGGTCTGGCCTGTCTGAGCATAACATTTCAAATATTACAGAATAATTCATTATGACCTTTTAAAGACATTCAATCAGGCAATCATTTTAATTGTGAAATTGGAAGAAAAAGGAAGAAGGAAGCCAGCGTATCCTGGGTGGACGGTAACTAGAATTACCATTGGCATAGTTACATTTTACCTACACATGGTACACTCCAGGAACAAAGTTTACTCACTTATTCCTTCACTGGGCCTAATTATAAAGCAGGTAATAGCATGATGTTTAATTTCATTTTACATATTACAATGATCCTTGATATAGATTTTTTTCTTAGCTCATCATAAAAGTATTGTGGAAGTTTTCCTTTTCAACTTGTGAAGCAGATGGAGAGGGAGGGAGGGAAGAAGAGAGAGAGAGAGAATGAAAGAGAGCTCTCTTACTTGTTGGTTTACTTCTGAAATGGGAGCCAGGGAAGCAATCTGAGTCTCCCACATGGAAGGTAAAACCCCGGGTATTTGAATCATCACTGCTGCCTGCCGGAGTCTGCACTGACAGGAAGCTGGAGCAAGGACCTAAAGCCAGTTAATAAACCCTACTGGCAACCTACTAGGTTGCCAACTAGTCTATTAACTATTAGCACAAATGCCCATCCCGGAAAACTTCTTTTAAAAAGGTCTTTGTTTATTTATCTTTATTTATTTAAGAAAGAAAGAGGGAAACAGAGAGAGACAAGGGTGAGAGAGCTTGTTCAGCCCCATAAATGCTCATACAAAAATCGGGGCTGGGCCAGACTGAAGCCTGGACTCAGCAACTCAAGCCAGGTCTCTAACGTGGGGGACAGGGATCCGACTACATTAATAATTATCTGTTGCCTCCAAGGTGGTACACTGGAATTGGGAGCAAAGCTGAGCTTTGAAGACAGATAATCCAACATAAGCTGTGGGCATTCCAATCAGTATCGTATTGTAGACCAAATACCTGTCCATACACTGGAAAATTTTTGTAGAGTAAATAAAGTGTCCTCGTTAATCATATTTTCCATTTATACAACAGGTATAACAATAATGACACATGTAAAATATAAAACTCTACATATAAATTAAGAGAAATTATACATACAAGAGAAAAATATATATGCAAAAAATACTTAGAATAGCATACAAGGAAATGTTCAGTAAATATTTACTGATACTATTATGCAGAGTTTTCCAGAAGCTACAAAACACAGATGATCAGGTAGAACCCAGAAGGGCCCGTGACAGGGTGTATGTGGATACAAAAACTTGACTATGATACATATAGTTATCAGGGAAAGAACCAAGATTATGGACAGGTAAGAGTATAAATAGAATGTTACAAATATGGAGTTAAAAACATTTTTTTTAACATTAAGATGTCTATACCATGCACAGATAATCAGGACACAAATGCAACAAGGTATACTCAACAGGAATTTACTGGTGTCCTGGGGATGTGTCAGCTGTATGGTCTAGTCAGCCTTTATTTATTCCAAAGGACACAAACCTATTAGTTTACCTGTAGGGGCCTACATTGTGGAATAGCAGGTAAAGCCACCGCCTGAAATGATGGGAACCCAAATGGGTGCTGGTATGAATCTCATATGCTCTACTTACAATGTAGTTCCCTATGAATGTGCCCAAGGATGACCCAAGGCCTTAGCCCCTGCACTCATGTGAGAGACCTGGAGGGAGCTCCTGGATTTGGAATGGCCCAGTTCCAACTAGTGAAGATATTTGGGGAGTGAACCAGTGGAAGGATGGAAGATATCTCTATCTGTCCCTTTCTCTCTCTATAATCCTGCCTTTCAAATACATAAATTAAAAAAAAAACACTGAAAAAGATATTATCTATGAAGGCCAAGGGTGAAGACAATATAATTAATTCACTTGGATTAAACCAGCTTCCTCCATTTATTCAACATCTAATCATGCAAATTTAATTTCTGAATATAAACAGAAGTGGTAGAGAACCTTAAAAGCTAAAATAAAGAGGTTATACCCATTTTCATTG